GCCGTTCTTCCCGTCTAGCTCAGCCGGGAATTTCGGCGTTGGAACGGCTTTGATTCAGACGTCGAACTTTTCATGAGCCGAACCTAATGCATACACCTTGCCTGAAGACCGCTGATGTTTCGATGTGTTTTGGTTCAAACTAAATTAAGTTCGGTGAATTAAGTTCGACGTCTGAATCAACAGGCGAACTTTTGATAATTTGGGTCGGTCCAAAGTCGAATTAAGTTCGGCTCATGAAAAGTTCGGCGTCTGAACTGGGCCTAAGGCCTCGTCCACAATACGCGGGAGAAATTTGAAAACGCAACTATGTTTCTACGGTTAGGCCTACCGTCCACACCAATCCGGACCAAAAACGGAGCTTTTTGATGCCGGCTTTGCGTTTTAGTGTGGACGGTGTGGACGGAGCTTTTTCGAAAACGATGATGACGTCGACATAAACTTGTGGATTTCAAACACAAGTTCAAAATGACCGGTGATTGTTGCGTTTTTAAATATCTACGGTGTAGTATGGACGGAGAAAATTTGATGTGTTTTCAGAGTGAAAACGCCGTTTTCAGATTTCTGCAGCGTAATGTGACGGGGCCTTTGAAAGCTTGTTTGGTTAACACTACGTAGGGAAATAATTGAAAACCATGAGAAGTGAATTTCAGTTAGAATAATTCAAGCCTTCGGAAGAAGATATGATATTCTCGTTTACTAGAGGACACGTTCAGTTTGTAAATCCTTCGGTTAATTTGACTCTGAGAGAACTGAATTTTTCTTCCTCGCGGATGCTTAATGGATTGAATACACAGGCAGCTTCCAAATATAGCGGCCTCAGAGCGCTGAAAGGAAAATAAAGAAATAACACAAACAATCTTTAGAATAACCATGTGAAATCTTACTTGTATATCACCGAGGTATTCAGACCACCAGAGGTGAAATAACAAGAGTGGAAAACCTGTCTGAAAGAGGCGATAGATTTTCCCAAGATAATGCAGACAGATCCAAGTCGTGCGCCCCTCCAGAAAACGGGTGAAAGCTGGCTGACAAGAGCCGTAAAGATGGCGAATAAGAGGGTACCACTAACAAGAAGAGACGCTAAAGAGCTTTCAGCCGTTTGAGTGTTCGACATTTGGCCTAAAACCTTGACAAATAAGGCATGGAAAATTTCTTAGACAAAGATACTTCACACAGATGGTTATCAAGATTTCACTTAAAATAAATCACATGACTAAGACGTTTAAGTTCGTTAATGACGATACATTTTCAAGTTAATTAAAAACAACTCTAGCCTTGCATGACGTGATTGCGATCTGTGTGAGGTCAGTCTCACACAGTTATTGTTTGGTGCGAATTGTAAAGCAGGCGATACCAAGTTATGTATGGGATGGATCGTTAAATTAGATTACTGTTGGGGTGGGCGGGGGGAGGCGAAGGGGTGTTAAATTAATTTTGACCACTAGATATTTTCTCCTCCTTTTATCCTTGCAGGTAATTGTTTCATGCCAGCTTTATGCTTTACTGTTTCCTTTCCATTACTATTATTATTATTATTCTTTTTTTTTTATAATCTGAAGTGCCTACTCAATATTTTTGTTAGGATTTGTCTAGCCTTTGAACCTCCCCCCCCCCCCCACCCCCCACACATCAATACGTAATCTCCATCCCTAGGAATCCAAACTGCTTCATATCATGCATGGTGTTCAAACCTTGTTTAGGAGAATTACGTCGACAAGACACGAAATCTGATTTTCTCGAGTTGATCAGTTCACAAAATCGCATATAGCTCAAACGGAGGAAAGTAAAATTGGAGTAAAATGAAAACAGTTCGTTCCAGGAATACCTCGTTTTCCCTGAGGTTTTGGAATCTTTAATTTGTAAACCACGTAATACTCTCATGAGATTAGCTGGCTAAGCTCAGATTAACTCCTCACTAATTCTTTTTTTATAAATAGCGATCTAACTTAACTGCAAATCATGTGAACCACGAAAGTTATGTAACATCTGTTATCAACTTATTAATCTTTATGCTCTTATTTGTTGAGCTCTTTTTTATGACTTACAAGTACATTTGCTGCCCTTTAGTCGGTTATATTTGGAATTTCGCGTTCAAAATGCTGAAATCCATGCATGTAGGTTTTGATTGTTCCCTAGCTTTTATTGAAAGAAAAGGTTTACGATTTAGATTAATAACCTTTCAAAAGCTAGACCTTCTAATTTTAGACTTCAAGGATGCCTGGAGCAACAAGTTCAATTATAGAATTGTCACCTGGATGGGATTGCTCTGATCGCTCGCATTGATAATCATTTTAACTATGAATCGGCGTCTTTTGACGTAGAAACAGCAATTTCTCGCCAACGGTTTTTTCTTCAAAAGTTCAAAAGTTGCAGATCAAATAATTAAAAGCAAAAGCTCATCATCGTGAAAAATTTAAGGCATGAAATAAATAAAAAACAATTGCAGTTTATTTTCGGGACAGAGAAACAGAGGACTAATTTTCTTTCAAAAAGTTAAAGGGACCACGTACAGAGGATTCTGTTGTCGGGTAACGGGATCAGCAGAAGCATAGTTACTAACTATGGCACAAGCGAGTTATCTTTAGGGAACAGGGATTTATTAACAGGGAATAAGACACCGGAAAGAATTTAGTTTTAGCTGGGGGGTGGGGGATGAAGAGATCTATTCTCGGGAAATTCGAGGAAAGGAAATAGGTTTGGAAGGTATGCAGGAACAGAGAGACATTGACAAGGGAAACTGAGATTAAGGGCACAAGAAATCGAGGAACGGGGAACAGGGAATCGTGGAATAGGGGAAATGGGAACGTAGAAATCTAGTTTTAGGGAACAGAGGTGCGATTTTAAATGTAGAGAGGTAGATATCAAGGAACACAGCAGTCCTCAAATTACCTTTTGTCGCCAGAACATGCTTCTGGTTGGTGGTCAATCCCAGGGAAAAAAGAAACATTGGAACTGCTATACTGTAATGGTACAGTATTATCCCTTGTATGTGCCCGCTGGGGCTATAAGCGCGGTATTGACTTTATCTTCAATTTGACGATTTCAGCCTTACACACATTTCGTAATTGCTCTCATAAAAACGGCATCAAAGTCCGAGAAACATTACGTCAACTTGTCGTATATTGCAGTAATGATCGTTTACAATAAAACGTGCAGTCAATGATTTGAATACACTGGCGGAGGCAAAAGTCTTATGCTACCATTTTAAATTTACATTTAATCTCATGCATCTTAAAATGGAAAGCGAAGGCATTTATTGAGAAAGATTTCAATCTTTTATTTTAAATTTGGCACTGTCATATTTTTTTTTTTTCCCACAGACCTGCAGACGCTAACCGCTGACAGACATAAATCAATTTTCCAGACACTTGAATAAGGAACGACTCCAAAGTGAGGCATGGTGATAACTATGGCAACAGGCCCCCTCAATTAACTTAGCGCCCAAGTGACTGCTAACTACGAGCGATTGTGGTAATTTGACATGGTGCAGTTGAATTCAGTGTTGATTTTTTGGATGAAGTCGGCAGACATAGCTGGCTTAGCTTTCAAGTGAACATTGATATTCACCCAGTCATAAAAGATCCAACACTTTAACACAGGTTAGCCTGTGCTAAAGCCTCTTTTAAGGAAATATTAATCAGTTTCTGTACTGTGTGAATTAAAGATGAAGTTGATGAATTCGATGGTAAAAAGTGAAGAGGCGTATCATATTAACGCACCGTGCACACTACGCTGGAGGAAATTTGAAAATTAACGCAACAATCACCGGTCATTTTGGATTTGTGTTTGAGGACAATTCGGTTGGGTTTTCGAAAAGCTCTGTTTTCAAAATGTTTTCGGTTCACACGAAAACGAAAAGCCGGTGATTTCAAATTCCTATGGTTTGAAGTGTGTTTTCGAAAAGCTCTATTTTCGTGACAGATTAGTTTGGCCGGTAGGCCTAACCGTAGAAATGAAGTCTCGGCGTAGTGTGGACGTTGCCTTAGCCAAATAATTAACTATTTGTTCTATCATTTTTGTCCTTTTCTTTTGCTTATCAATGGAAATGGTTTTCTGTTCAGCTGCGCGAAGTGGAATAAAAATAAAACTTAATAGGAGAGCTTGAACCTTAATTAAAGAGGGCAGCCCACAGCGGAAACCGATATATGAAAAAAAAAAAATTGAAGTCAACTTGAAATTAAAACAGTGACTGTTAGATGACTGATCACAGAGGCCAACTGTGGAAACACAGTAGAAATCCGCTATATTTGTTGTAAGTTCACAGGATGCAATCACCGCTTGGCGATGCATTGAAAATTAAATGGCGTCTTGACTGGCAGTGTAATATAGCTTTATTCATTTAACTTTGTTTTTGTTATTGGCCTTTTTCCTTAACGCGTTAAAACGGTGATTCTAATAAATTGTGTAATACCTTGCCCTTGAAGAAAAAAATCATCTGCTAAGCACTTTGTGCTGGTATTTTTCATTCGATGAAGACATTTTCATTATTGGGAGGAATTGCAAATTGAATGTAATCTAACACTATATGTGGTATAATGTGTTTTTACTTAGTGTAAGTCTACTAGCGTTCTATCACGAATGCCGTTCTCTGATTTGCTACGCTACTCACTATCTATTCTGTTGTAGATAGAGAGTAGCAAAGCAGTGTGCGGTTCTTTACAAAATGGCGGTCACTTTCCTCGAAGTGTTTGTGAATAGGATTTAGATAAAGTTCTGAATTGAACGACTAATAGATTTATAAGAAAACAATTAGATTATTCGCTCTCGATTTCTACGCGTGATAGTTGACACGGGCTGCGCCTTCATCGAGTATCACGCGATAGAAATCGAGAGCGAATAGTCTAATCATTGAATATAACCAGACTAGAGAGGCAGAAGAAAGGAAATGACAGAAATGATGAAGGGACCTTTGGCTAGGTTACAGTGAACGGGACCTTTCTGTTACTATTTTTGGAGACTAGTGTTGAAATTTTTTAAAAGTGCTATCGTTTTAGACCTGATAAGAGTTACTTTGTTCGAGATTGTTGACTTAATTTCCAATCTGAAGTGTTCTGTTTGACAGAACTCTTACTCAGGGTCCTAAAGGTGCAGTTCTAAAGGACTTACCTGCCAATAAATCCAGTCAATGTTGCTGAACGTTATCAACGTGTACGATTCTAAAACTTCTCTCCAATTTTGCCTGCCCAGTTCAGACAACGAATACAAAAGACCGCGACCGAAACAGGAAGCAAGCCATTAAGGGTTCTTCCGGACTGGATTAACTGCAGTAATCGCATCTGTATCCTAATTGCCGATGACAGTTGTGAAACACTTAATTATTGCCTCACGCGAAATACCCTTCAACAGCTCACAAATTTCGAGATCCTCGTTCCACTTGTAATGCTGCAGCATCAAATGTACAGAGAAAAAAAACTTGAGATTGAAGGTAACTCTGTAACGCGTTACTACAGGGAGACTGTTTTCTGAAGTAACTGCTGTTGTTTGTTCCAGTAGGTTATATGATGGCTCTCTCTGTCTTTCGTCTACGTTTCATTGACCCTTGTTCACATTTCTTGTGTGTTTATCCTCCTATAAATGCTCGAAATATTTTAGACATGGGTGGAAGCTCCAATGAAAACAGAAACCCGAGGCGTTCTGGCAACGATTTTGTTTACTTTAGCTGCATCCATGACGCATTTCCCTTACTTTAATCTAAGTCAAGACTATTAAGCTTTTTACCAGATGATAATGCATCTTAGAGTCTCTTAAGTGTGTTTTTTTCTGGCTCGTAAACTTTTTATTAGCTTAATAAACTAATGACAGCTTTATATCGGGGCATACTTCTCGTTGAGTGTGTAGGTTGTGTTCGGGCATCTAAAAACTTACGGCTTTCATTGTAAATATGTTTAACATATATAGTAACAATTTAGCAGTTAGAATCATACCCACCTTTCATGTAACAGATCTTCCCGTACCGTAAAAAAAAAATAAATAAATAAAACTCCGGCATTTAATGGAGAGCGTTCATCGAAATTTATATATATGTTGCAAATTACTTGAAAGATTCTGGAGCTGTCTCGGCTATCTAAGAGATAACTCAGATTTTCACATCAACGCAAACAGGAAAAAAAAATTCTTAAAGTCGCATTCATGAGCAGAATGGCTCCAAGATTTCGGCTCGCGTGCAAGCTTAAGAACCTGTAAATTATGCTTGTTGAAATAAAATTTTCACCTGTATTACTAATTAAAACCCAATTTCCTTTTAATTAAAATTTCACGAGGACCCGTGTCTCTAATTTAATTTCCTTAATCTTGTTTATTAGGGTTCGTTTTGTTTAATAATCTTTAAATGATCGTTTTATTGTTTAGGGGTAATTTGGAGGCTCTGTTCAGGTCAAGTAGTTCATTAGCCATCGCGTGTTTCCTTGCTAAATGATATTTGTATACACCATAAGGGATTATACTCTGATCTGGCCTGGAAATTAACTTATCATATGTTGATAAGAGGATTATAAACTGATTTATTACATTGGAAGGCTGTTCCATTATTATAGATGGAAAGGTGCCTTTTGATTGGCTTCGTGAAGAGTCTGAATTTTGCAATAAGGACTGCAAATAAAGATCGATCGCTCACCAACGCATTTTGTCAATTTGGGTTTTTGAAGAGCTGTGGAAGAAAAACAAACTGTTTCCTATGTAAATGTACATCTGGGAGGGTGTTTTTTATTTAGTAATTTTGAGTAAAGATTCCAGAGAAATTTGATGTCTTCTAGGGGAGATTTACGAAGCGGTTCTTTCTTTATAAAGGGTCAGAGAAGGGGAAATGGATTTAGCAAAAACAAAAGTTACTTATAAAGCCGCAAGAAACCTTCAACTGATCCCGAACAGCGCCGAGTAGAGAATCGAAGGATTTCCATTCAGAGTCAAAAACCTTCGTCTGGGCCTTTGGGTAGTCTAGTGACAATCAAAGTCATACATGTGCATTACCTTGACATATCATCTTTAACAGATCAAACACAATATTTAATTTGTACACCCCGTACATAAGCAGATTATCTTTTCTTTTCATTCACCCAATGAGACTGGACGTGGCCGAGAGTAAGACAGATATGAGACAAGAGCAGGGATTTGTTTGACCTGACAATTCGGTTATTGTGTCATTCTCAGCATCGGTAAAATTGCGAGTATGTTCTTCACATTTCATCTTTCCGACAATTTTTATATTGTAATAAAGATCTCTCATGATATTGTTGGAAGTGGCTACAGCATTGGAAATTTTCTTTTTTCTCCCAACCTGTATACTTGACAGGTAATTGACTAAGCGTGGAGAAATTAGGCGTGCATCACATTTGGTTTTAAGTTCACCAGTTAAAGAAAATACTTCTTTCGAAAACAGTGCATGTCTTTAACTGCGCGGATTTAGAAAACTTCGATAAATTTTCGCTGAATATAGATAGCTGTCAGTCTTTGAGAGACCTTTCATGCAGTGTTATAACAATCATTTCAAATTATTAAAGAAAACGAGGGAAACGGAAGCAAACCCTTCGTTTACAAGTTTGCCCCTATTGTAATGCAATCCCACATTACACATCATCCTTACTAGCTAATTTGTTCTTGTTATTTGCCAACTTCTGTTCTTCAATTAGTGTGTTTTGTATAGCAAATACAGGTCAGAGAGAAAGGTTTGAAGACGAAATGCGATAGGAAATCGAGCAATTTAAGTTTTAAGTCTTTAAGTTGGACAAACTGACCTTGTACTAAACTAATTTTAAGTATAATACAGTCCTTTTTGCATTTTTTAAAAGCTAAAGATGTTAACAGTTACTGAAATAACGCCAAAAAACAATTTCCCACGGGAACTCGAGAAAATAAACACAGTTAAAATTTTAATCATCAGTTTCATTTCACCAGTACTTTCAAGTGTTTCATACGAACTTCAAAATTTGTTTTCGACATTTGGTGGTGATTACTTTTGAGAAGATACTCAAATCAGTCGCACATAAGTTTGCAATACAATGTTCAATGTGCGGTTTGCTGACTTGCAGACAATCTTTCTAAATTGCAAATCATAACAAATTGAGTCCTTTTCAACCTCGAAAGTTCACGCGTCAAAATGACAGATAAAAGTTCATCAACCAAGACCTTTTCTTTCTTGTTACTGTTTTTGGATAAAATCTTTGTAATTAGAGCTTGTCAAATGTACGTCAATAGCTGTAACGCCGGTAATTTTCCTCATAAACCCTTCTAATCCATAAATCGCTTGTGTTACAATGGTGAAAAAAACAATCCAGGTCAAACAGAAACTAATTAGCCAAAGTTAATCCAACTTTGTTTTGGCAGCCTTAGCTGTGAAGGACATTTTAAGACATGAAAGATAAATGTAAATCTGTAGTGACCTGGACAATTTAAAAAGTTAAAATTAAACGTGTTGTTGTTTTCCGGTATTGGAAAGAATTTCGTGCCACTTAAGACAAACTATGTGACAGGCTTTATGCGGATGGCATTCAGCAATGTCGTGCATGTGATGAACTCAACCAGTTTAGAACTAGAAATATAGAATCAGCTAGAATCTGAAGTCAGGTGTTGGAACTCAATTTTGGATCTCGATTATTGATGCCGGCACAGGCCCCTCAGAATACGCTAAAACAATTCCCATCACACAATATACTCACAAAAGGTTATAACCCCCAAGATACCAAAATCGCCAACTTTGCACGGCATCTCCACCACCTTTTCGGTTTAAGAACCTCTCCTAAGCTGCTGGCGAGTGATTTCACATTTATCAGGAGTTCTCAAATAGCTGGAGTTTTATAAGGCCGTATTTATTCCATTTTATTCTATACTTTTGTCACGTGACCCCTCCAGGTGTAAAACAGTCACTTTAAAACGAAAGTTGCCTTCTCTACATCTCACCTTTTAGTCTGGGAGCAAATGTAAGCCCGTGGGAATTTCGTGCTGAAAGCAAGCTACCAGTCTAAAAGTGTTCATTAGGGTCTAGTAAACATGAAAAGTTTTAGTGGCAACTCTGCAACTTGCTAGGACGGGTTTTAAGGAGGGTTCAAATCGGACGTATATGAGCCAACATGAAAACGAGGCTGGTACATTAAATTCTTTATAACCTCATCAATTTGACAGATATTCGTAAGTTGATTATTTAGTGACAGCTGTTGATTATGAAGTGGTCACGTGATTTTCTAGCATGAAAACTA